ATATATATATATATATATATATATATATATATATATATATGCATGCATATATACACATGCATGCATGCATGCATGCATGTATGTGTGTATGCATGCAGTTGCGAGCTTTGAAAGGGGAGGCAGCAAACTGCTCGTCAGAGCAAGCCCTGTACACCCGGTAAGGGTTTAGGGTTTAGGGTTTAGGGTTTAGGGTTTTAGGGTTTAGGGTTTTAGGGTTTTAGGGTTTTAGGGTTTTAGGGTTTACGAATTAGGGTTTAGCTATGTAGGGTTTAGGGGTCAGGGTGTAGGGTTTAAGGCCTTGTGCTTAGGTCAGAGGTTTAGGGTTTAGGGTTTAGGGTTTGGGGTTTAGGGTTTAGGGTTTGGGGTTTAGGGTTTAGGGTTTAGGGTTTAGGGTTTGTCTATCTATGTTGCAGACCCCAGCAAGCTGCCGCGTTCGTCATAGACACACAGAGAAGACAACTAAACCCTAAACCCTAAACCCTAAACCCTAAACCCTAGATGCAGAGAGGATAACTAAACCCTAAACCCTAAACCCTAAACCCTGGGATTTGGTTTGTTGTTGGTTTTGCTTGTCTCTCTTTTGTCTCCTTTCTTTGTTTTTTTTTTTTTATTTTGTTTTTGTTTTCTTTATTTTCTTTGTTTTCCTCTTTTTTGTTTTATTTATTTACTTTTTTAATTTCGTTTTTGTTTTCTTTATTTTCTTTTTTTTTATTGTTTTTTTTTCTCTTTATCTTCTTTTTATTTTGTCTTTATCTTTATTTTCTTTTTTTTTGTTTTTTTGTTTTTTCTTCTCTTTTTTTTAGTGGTTTGTTTTATCTCCCTTCGTATCTTCTTGTTTCTCTAGAGTTTAGGGTTTAGGGTTTAGGGTTTAGGGTTTAGGGTTTAGGGTTTAGGGTTTAGGGTTTATCTACAGACGGAGGCATCAACGACCTGTAGGCGGTTATTTCGGTGGCTCAGCGAGGGATCCAAAGAATGTAATTTTTTTCTTTTTTTTATTTTTTTATTTTTTTATTTTATTTTATTTTTTTTTGTTTTATTTTGTTTTGTTTTTCATTTTTATTTTTTTGCTTTTGTTTTGCTTGTTTTGTTTGCTTTGTCTTTGTTGTTTTTGTTGTTTTGTTTTTATGTTTTTATGTTTTTATTTTTTTGTTTTGTTTTTGTTGCTTTGTTTGTTTTGTTGTTTTTGTTGTTTTGTTTATTTTATTTATTTTATTTGTTTTATTGTTTTATTATTATTGTTTTTGTTTGTTTTATTTTTTGTGTGTTTTGTCGTTTTATATGTGTTTTGTTTTTTTATTTGTTTATTGGTTTTTGTTTATTTGTTGTTCTTCTCTTTGTTTGTTTTTATTTCTTTTGTTTATCTTTCGTTTCTATCTAAACCCTAAACCCTAAACCCTAAACCCTAAACCCTAAACCCTCAAACTTTTTTTTTCTTCTCTGCATGCAGCTGACAAATTAATTTTTTCTGTTGGCGAAATTTTGGTTATAGCGCAACGTCAGCGCCCGAAGAAGGTTTGTTGCTAGGGTTTAGGGTTTAGGCTTTAGGGTTTAGGGTTTAGGGTTTAGGGTTTAGTAGGGTTTCGGGTTTACTAGGGTTTAGTGGAGTTTTGTATTTGCTGCATAGGGTTTAGGGTTTACAGGGGTTTACAAGGCTTTACAAGGGTTTATAAGGGTTTATAAGGGTTTACAAGGGTTTAGGGTTTAGGGTTTAGGGTTTAGGGTTTAGGGTTTGTGTGCAGCCATGGCCGAAACCCTTCGGTCTATGGACGGACGATTTGGGTGCGGGGATTGCAGAGGCAAAGAGAAACCAATGGAGGACGC